CCTGTTCCTTTTACACCCGTTTCTACCCCTCGGCTTTTGTTTGACTTCCTTCTCAAAGCAAGACCAACCAGAGAGAGAACCAAGCCATAGAACCGAGAATTTCTTTCATCTTTTACTTTTTACCAATCGAAAGGAAAAGGCGGCTTCAGAATCAGTATGTATTCTTATCCCTCGTAAATTATTTTCCCCTCCGTTTAGAAAGCCATCAGCTGGACCGCCAGGGGGTCTGATTCGAGGGCCTGCTCTTTCCGAGCAAACACACACAATCTCGCAGTTTGCCCGAAAACGAAAGAAAGTATGAGAAGTTTAGCCGCAACGGCGTGAAACGCGATACCTCCCGCGGTAATCTTATCTCCCTCGGACCCACACACTATATACGCTCCGTCTCTCTCAGCCCGCGCCATAAATGAGGGGAAAGAAAGAGAGGCAGCGAAAGGGGGGAGAGAGGGAGAGAGACACCAGGACCTCACCACGTGTTCAGCCAGAGCCTGCCGCATGTTCTGCATCATGCACCAGGTCCACTTCAGGCAAATAAGTTGAGTTGACTAACCGCAGCGCAGTAAAAAGGTTTTTATGTGTGTGCATTTAAAGCGAGAAAGAAATTTCTGTTTTTGTTTGTCTCTTCAAAGAGCGACGGAAAGCTTTTACCCTAGAGGCAGAAGGCTTTCGCATGCAAACAGGAAGCAGCAAACGGCGGCGGCGGCGGCAGTAGCCCCAACGCAGAGACGGTCTGTATCGCACCCACGGTGGCGAGAAATCTCTCTCCACCCGTGATCGCAACGTAGTAGATGTGCGTATCAGAGAGAAAGAGGCGGGGAAGGGGGTGTAGCCACCAAAACAAACTCACTCTAGCGCCGGAATTTGTTTTGAAAATAAAAACAAAATTTAAGAAAGGACGCAAAGAAGATACAATCGTTTAGTTTTTTTGACATAGGGCACGTTCAGTAGCATTCCCAAACGCAAAAAGAGAAAGAAACCCACCAAGATCCTCTGATTTAAAAGGCATACAACAGATCTCTCACAAGAATACAGCACTACGACTCTAGTGGTCCCCATTACATTAATTCCGAATCCTTAATTAATCAGCTTTTTATCCGCACGTCCTCTTCGACCCAAGACGTTCGCCGTCATCATCGCGGCCCGGCAAAGGGAAACAACACTTTGTCTCGAGTGGATTGCTTTGTCAGGCGCGGCGCGGCGCGGTCGGTCGGTTGCCAGGTCGCAGGAGGAGCAAGTGCGGACTACGTCACTGTGACTCAGAAAGGCGTCGGCCAGGAGAGCGGGCCGAGTACCCAGCGGGAGGGTACCTCACGGGAGAATACCCGACAGGAGGATACCTTCACGGGAGGGTCCCTGGCGGCGGGGTACCCACCCGCAGGGACCGCCGCCGTTGCCGCCACCTGGTGGCGGCCAGGTATCACGCGTAACGGTGCAGGGGAAGTCCAGACGACATCCGGCCTCGCGGCATGTCCGGCCGGACACACGTGTGCACTTAGGCCCCTGCGACGGCCGCTCCGGTTAGGCGGACGGGACAGCGAGCGGAGCGGGCGGCGCAACCCGTCCGCCAGGTATCTGCTCCTCGCTATCTATCCATCGGGGGGACGTTAGACCCGGGGCAGCCACTTGCACTTTGAAGGACAGCAGCAGCAGCAGAAGAAAAGAGGATGGAGAACGAGATTGCATGCATCGTCGAAAATAAGACAAGGGAGATGGATGAGAAGGGCGGACAGTTTTGTTTGTTCTTTTTTTTATGAAATAGCACGACAGATAAACACGACACAAAATATATCAGGTGAGTGGTTCACACCTCGTCTTTGTTACTTCACTAAGCAGTTACACTGTGCGTCGCGAGCACACCCCAAAAACGAGGTTCTTGAACCAAGTAAATATCATTGGAACAAGTCAATTTTCTACCTGTGTTAGGATATTTATTTCATTCATGCACCTTGTTTTTTGGGTGCAGCTCGCGTCGTCGCGGGTGCCTGCCACCGCCACTGCCGCGCCAGCCACGAGGCCTCGTACGAGTAGGCAACCCTGCTGAACGGCTGCATGCGGTGCAGCATAAGCGTACGGAGCTACGGAGGTCGTGAACCGCCCACCTGGCGTAAGCACGGTAGCGGCGTCTGATTCGTTTCGGCAGTTCTGCTTACTTTGAGAGAACAGGGGAACTTCCTCTAGAGTTTGATTTAAACAACAAAAATGCGGCACCTCTCTGAATGTGAGAAAAATAATGCCCGCGGTTCCCAAATTCCGAGGAACTTCCCAGGAATTTTTCAAATTTTTCCACATAATCAAAATCGTGCCCTTGACAAGTAACCGGAGCTTTTACCGTGGTGGGGTTTACACACAGAAATGAGCGTACCATGCGACTAGAAGACAGGTCCCAGGCGGATCGCGCCCGGCGGTAGTCGAAGCCCAGCCCGGCGCCGCCCGGCGGCCCGGGGCCGGGCCCGCCGTGCTGCTTGGACTTCCTCCGCGGCCGGCGCAGCGACGAGAACCAGCCCTGCGTCGGCATGACGTCGGCGAGGTGCGGCCCGGGGCACAGGCCGGGGCACAGGCCGCAGCACGGCGCGCACATCCACGGCGCGCGCGCTCACGCTCTGCAGGGGGAGCAGCACAGTCAGCACCCCAGTGTGCCAAACCTACGCTCGGTGCTCGTCCGACTCACACTCACGCTCACTCGCTCATTCACACTCACACGCGCAACTGTCAAACGTGGTGTGCGAGGTCATATAGGCTAGGCAGCAATCTTCCTTCAACCATACACACACACAGGATTTGTTCCTTTATTATTATAAGGGATCGTCCAGAAAGTACGTTCGTTTCTCTCAAAATCATCTTGCCAACTACAGAAGCTCGGCGCCTGCAAAACTCTGGGTAGGCCACCCCGCAATACACGCATGCACGGCATGCAAGATTGTGCCTACCCACCAGGCGCCATGAGAGCTTATTGCATTGCCTTAATTTGGAGGGTTCGTAACGGCGAATGACGGACGTACTTACTGGATGATCCCTTATTCGTACACATTTGAGCGTTCATTTTTATTTTCTGAACTTTATCAAACTTTGCTTCTTCTACGTGAACATTTTACTTTTTACAAGAATGAGTCTTCAATGCAAATGAAATGTTTTTACAGGGGCAGAATTTGATTGAAAATTTGAGTACTAGAACACACTGCACGGTAAGAACGACGTATACGGTTGGAAAGCAGCCAAGCATCCCTTGTAAAAGAAATACATGAGAGCGTCTTGGTTTTTACAAACCCGCTTGGAAACCAATATGTCGTTTTTATAGTGTGTTAAATCGTGTGTTAACCGGGAAACCGGTTATGAATACCAGATTAATCAGTGCACGTTTTTTCTTTTAAAAAGCTTTCCTGAGCAGTGCAAACTCAAAGTCCGTCGCAAAACTTGTCGGATCTAGTGCGGCTTGGATAGCGGCTCGCGGGCCGCGCGCATCTCCTCTCCCACGGAACTAGTCTAGGCTCGAGAGCCTCGGGCAGAGCCGACTTCTCGAGAAAACGGACGAACGGGGCGCCTGGTTTGTGACCTCGGCCCGCCACAGGACACCCACGCTACGCCGCGCCACGCCCAGCTCGTCATAAAGAAGCATATTCATCACACAGCCAGAGCCAGGCCGGCCGCGGCCGCGTCGCACCTGCAGACACAGTCCGCACACTTCGCTTCTCAGCTCAGATTCACCAAAGATAAACTCTTGGGAATTTTGCTGAGCAGCCATTCAGACACCACACCGATGTAGAAGTGAGCGACATTCTTGTGAAAATGCGGCACAAATGTCACAAATAGTTTTTGATGATTGAAAAACTTCACACTTTTAAAATCAAAAACTTCATTCCAGTGTCACTCACTCATCAATTTACAATAAAACTTTCACAGTTAAAATTGAGATAATGTTTGACAGTTTTAGACTGTTGTTAAATTGCGAATTTCCCAACAGTGCATACTGGCATGTCACACACTTCAGATGTTTAGGGGTGTGGTGGGCCGGGGCCTCGCTCGTGACGTCACGGCCATCCGGGGGAGGTCTGCCGCCATTAGGCTATCGCTGGCGCCGCGGGGGGCGCCTCTATTGCCCCCCGCGGCAGACACAAGTAGTGGAGGCGGGCCGGGCGGGGCCGGCCACCCCCGGCCGGGAGGGAGGGATGGCCTAGTAACAAAACTTCCACACAAGTCTATATAACCATAAAAGAATGAGCTGCGGGCGGTCGCGTCGCGTAGGGGATCATCCAGCAGAAAGTACGTGCGTCATTCGCCGGTACGAACCTGCCAAGTTCACCCCCTGCAAGCTATCATAACGCCTGGTAGGTAGGCAACATCTGGCCTGCAGGGCGTTCGCGTACTGCGGGGTGGCCTACCCCGAGCCTCGCAGGCGCTGAGCCCCCGTAATTAGCCGAACAAATCTGAGGAAAACGGAAGTACCGCGGGTGATTTAAAGAAGACGCAGGTGTGGGCGGGTGCTGTGCCCGTAAGGCGCCATGGCCCCTTAGGTTGGCAAACCCGCCCGCCCGGACCTCCGAATCACCCGGTACTTTCTGGACGATTCCTAGGCAAAAGCGGAGCGCTAATCCGGGCACGCGCGGAGACCGCCACGCCATACCGCCGCCGCCCCAGACTGCCAGAGGCAACCAGCTTTTCATAAATATACACACCGTGATTGTCGCGTCATTTCCGCTCGCCCCGCACTTCCGGTTTCCCCCGCGCGCTGTAATTCCAGCCATGCTCGGTAATGACGCACAGCTGCAGCACAAGTGTACGTGGTATCGACCCTGCACGAGTGGTGTATGATGGTTGACCTCAACCACAAACCGCACAGCGGGGTGGATATGACAAACTCAGAAACATGACGATTGTAAAATACCGCCTGCGCCTTCCTGCCCGCTCCCCGAGCTGCTCCCGCAGCCCGCCGCGCGGACTACCTCTCATCTTCCCAGCCCCGCGACCCGTTTTCCAGCTTCATACCCTTCCCGAGGAGCGCGGCGCGGCGCGGATCGCATTCCAATCGGCCCCAACGCCTCGCGGCGCCCCCCCCCTCTCCCTCTCCCTCTCTCCCTCTCCC